TTCATGGGATAATATGATAAGCAAAGTCTAAATACAAACAACAAATTGGGTTTTAAGGCAGAACTTTACAACTCATATCAAAACAGCTCATCTTCTGTGTATTTAAAGATCTCCCAGATATAAAAACAAAAATAGAACCAACCAATGCTAGAAGAATGGTCGAAGTCAATGAAACGACCGTTCATAGAAAAGGAAACACAATGACTCTTAAACATATTACAAAATGTTCAACTTCATTCAAAATAAGAGAAAGAACAATTGAAAGGATGCAAGGTAATTCAATGAGGAAAAGATACCTTTTCAACAAAAAAAGTGCTGGATAATGTTATGCCCAGATTTCAAGATCCCCAATAGACCACCAGGGAGCCAGCCGAGTCCGATGCAAAAGCAGAGAGTCTTTATTCAAACTAGTTTGGGCCCCCCGTCAGCCACGCTCGCCGACGCAGTAGCAAGCGGCCGAGAGAGCGCGATAGCCCCGTGGGAAGAGGGGTTTAATAGGGGGGTTGGAGTAAGGGGAGGAGAGAGGACTGTGGGCCCTGCCGATTGGCCAGGCGCAAGTCGGTGTCTCGTTACACAGGATGTGGTCATATCTATGGCTCGCACTTCCCTTGATTATCATTGGTTAGTTTAAAGAAATCCTAGGTGTGGCTAGCAGAGGCTTGGACTTCCGGGAAGAAGCTTCTGCTGAGCACATGGCTGCTGCCCAAAAATGGAGGATTCGGGGCAAGATGGAGGGTGTAGCCCTCGCCCTTTCAGATAACTGGATATCTACATGGGGGGTGGGGGGGGAGAACCTTTATCTTTTATCTCATACCATACACAAAAAGTAACTCAAAATTACCTAATAGCTGAATCTATAAACTTTTAGAAGAAAACATAGGAGAAAATCTTCAAGACCTTAGAATGAGCAAAGACTTCCAAGACAAGACATAAAACTTCTAACCATTAAAATATTATAGATTGAACTTCATCAAAATTAAAAACTGCTGTTTGTCAAGTTAAAGCATCAAGAAGAAAGGCAAGCTGAGAGAAAATATTCCAAATATACACATCTGCTAAAAGACTTGTAGTCCGAGAGTATACTAAGAACTCTTAAAACTAGTACTCATACTATACCAATAAAATAATCCAACTTTTAAGTGGAAAAAATATCTGGACACTTCACAAGACATGTGCCCAATAAGCACATAGGAATGAGGCTCAAGGTTGGCACCACCACTGTGGAATTGGTTTGGCACTTTCTTGACCCAGAAATTCTCCTCCTAAGTATTTACTCAAATGAAACCATATGTCCATCAAAAAACACACTATGTTGGCATGGCTATGAGAAAAACACACTCTCAATCACTGATGAGGAGAGTTTAAATTGAAATAAACTCCAAAAAGGGTGTTTGGGCATTTATCTTACCTAATAATAGACAAACATGTAAATTGACCTCCACTACACTCACCAGCCAATTGGGAGAGTATGCAAATTAACCCAACAAAGATGGAGGTTAATTTGCATACGTAGGCGCAAAGCAGAGAGGAGCGAAGACTGAAGGAGACTGAAGGAGACTGAAGGCTCCGGCCAGAGCGAAGGCCTGGGTCCCGGGTGCCGGAGGAAAACCCGTGCCGGCAGCCAGGGGAAGATAAGGCCTATTGCACAAATCTCTTCATGCAACGGGCCTCTAGTTAAATTATAAATGCTTTGACCTAGCAATTTCCCTCCTAGGATTTTATGCTACTGATAAACACAGTTTAAGTGGCATATTTAAAAGTTATTACTGCAACATTGTTTGAATAGCAAAACTCAAAACATAATCTAAATGCAAGATAGGTTAAATAGTGATACATCTATACAATGAAATCATATATAACTACAAAACCGAATGGGGACCATCTATGTGCTAATATGGGATAAACCTCAAGGTTTAATGTGAACAAAGCAACATGTGTTTGTTATGTTGCAACTTGTGTAAAAAAAACAAACACTGAGGATAGATATTTGGATTTTCTTATATGTACATTAAAAAAAAAAAAAACTTCTGGAAGAATAACCAAGAAACCAATACAAAAGTACCTGTTAGAAGGAAGATGTAGGAAACGTGGATGGAGTCAGGAGTATGAAGGACAATTTCATGGTATGCCTTTTTAATCTTTTAAACATTTTGATCCATGTGACTGTACTAGCTATTCGAAATTTAAATATTTAAAAAGTAACATCAAAATAATATATTATATATTAATATGTAAACACAACATAACTATTGTAATATATAGGCAGTGTCTAGTCCATCAGAGGGACATTCTTGGCACACAATAAGTTATTGTTTTATCCCCACTCATACTTCAGGTTCTAGTCCCCCAAATCGGAGGTGCCCAGTTGCTTCTCCTGTCCATGCCCTCACAGGGGCTTTCCCTTCTGCCCAATGTTTTTCCCCCACTTATCCTCTCCTCACCCACGTAGCAGTAAGTTTCAGGCAACACCTCTTCAAGAACCTTCTCTAATTGACACCTCCTCCCTCCCCATACCCTGACCGTTAGGAACCCCTCATTCTCCCGTGGGGACTGCAAGGTCTGAACCCGGACTGCTGGCTGTTAGGTCGGAGAGATCCCAGGATCAGATACATGCAGACATGTGATGAGACAATGGACTTCCCCTGGAATTTCTCACAGATCAACGTGCCAGACACAGACACCGGCTTCTTCTCCCTTAATCCACATACCCCCACACAGATACTGACTTCTTTCTGAATACCCCCACCCATCCCCTGCGGCAGAGAATTCCTCAGCTCAGGCCCCCCCGCCCCCGCCCTCACCCAACCACAGTATAAAAAAAGTGCCCCCCTCCCTGTTGGCGTGAATCCACGTGCCCTGTCCTTGGGGTACGTGGGTCTCCCGGGGATGCAGAATAAACTTTCCTTCCTTCCTTCCTTTTCTGATCAACTCTCTTTATTTCCTTCGCCGCCTCCTGAGCCACCTAACCTAACACTGGCCTCACCAGAGTAGCAAACAGTTCCAAGATGGGGGATACTGGCTGGCAGAGGACTTGCTCCTCACCACACAGACAACTGCAACTTTCAGTTTCCCCTAAACGTTATGTTGGTCCTCCCCGGCCCAGAGCCTGAGGAGTTTCTGTTTCCTTTAAGTGTTCACAGGAAAGTGCCTGGGCTGCCCCTTGTAACACTTGGTGAGTCACCTGTAGCCATGGAGGGAACAGAGGCAGATCTCTCACACGTGAAGCTCATGGTTCCACCAGGAGGGCAGGCACTTTTGCAAGGAACTGACTCAGACCGTGGGGAAGGGGCATAATGAGCACCCCAAAGTGAAGGGGAAGCCCAGTGAGAGGGAGGAGGACAATGCCCCATTGGGCCTCAGAGAGGTGAGAGTATGGCTGGCTGGGATGAGTGGTAAGGCTTTTGAATAGACAGCCTGGCCCTCTAGGGCAGGGCAGGGACAGCAGGCTGAGGCTCTGGCCCTCTGGGGAGGGGCTCTGGAGCTGCGACCTGACCCCGGTGGGTGTGCAGGCTGTGCCGGGAGGACATACAAGAGGAGGGACAAAGCCTGATGCCAAGGAAGCTGGAGAAGGTCCCGAGGGAGGCCTGGTGCCACAGGCTGTTCCTCAAGGGCAGGGCTCAGATTTCTTTGGGGGTTTCCTCACAAGCCTCTTCAGGAAGTGAGAGTCATTTCTCTATCTTCCATTCTTCCTTTTCTTTTTCTTTCTTTCTTTCTTTCTTTCTTTCTTTCTTTCTTTCTTTCTTTCTTTCTTTCTTTCTTTCTTTCTTTCTTTCTTCTTCTTCTTCTTCTTCTTCTTCTTCTTCTTCTTCTTCTTCTTCTTCTTTTCTTTTCTTTTCTTTTTTTTTTTAGATTCATTTCTGAGGAATGGAGAAGTCAAAGGGTCCCCGGGTTTGGGGCTGGAACACTGAAGCAGAAAGCCAGGCCACCCAAGTGTAACAGGAGGGGAAGCTGAGAGCAGCCCTGAAACCTCTCCTGAATGTGATGACTCCACCCTGTTTCGGGACCAGCTCTGACACACGCATACCCCCTCTTCCCTGGCACACCTCCTGACTCTCAAGAGGAACAGAGTGCCCACTCCTGCCCCAGGGGCTTTGAGATCCCTCAGCAGAAAGGAGATCTGTGGGTGATTTAGAGCATCATGAGGGCTTGTGTCAGCCTTCAGGGCTCTGGTCCCTGGCTGCAGACACTAGGGACATCGGGGACCATCCATCCCCACACCCCACTGCTCTCCAGGACATTGTAAACACATTTGTTTGAGTTTTCAAACCTCTGCTAAGAACCACAGGAAGGGTAGGGCTCCCCTTCATGCTGCCCTAGGCCCCAGCCAGGCCCATCAGGCATGCAAGACAGAGCTGTTGGACGAGTCAGAGAGTCAGAGTCAAGAGGGCTCACGCCCTGGCCGGAGAAGCAGGACCCACTCTTTCTCACCTCACCCCCACTGGCCTGGATCAGAATTGTAATCTGGAAGTTGGGACCTGCCTGATCCCCAGATCCCTCCAGCAGTGACCTCTCCTTGGTGGCCACCTCCTCCTCCATCCCCCAACCTCTCTGATCCCCCCCCACCCTGCCCCAAACACACATACACACACACTCTGGAGCTGGGAGCCTGAGCCACATGCTTTGCTCCTTCATACTGGAACCAAATCAGCTGCTGCCAGGCTGTTTCGGTGGGCCCTGCCTCTCCAGTCAGCTAGCCAGCACCGCAGAGCAGGCCTGGCTCTCCTGTCCTGGTGCTGTGTATCGATCTTAGGGCGGTTACTCAGCAGCGGATTGTGATGAGCAAAGGCTTGTCCAGAGAACCACTGTAGGTCAGAAGGGCCCTGACTCAGCCTCGCCCTGCCGCCAGTGTCTCCCAGCCTCCATTCATTGGCAACTGATTGGGCCTGAACCTTCTCAGGGCCTCAGTAATCTGAGGCGTAGCGCCAATGCCTCTTCCTCCAAGATGCCCCTCTGGCTTGGTGCCAGGCTTAGGCTGGGCTGTGGATGGTCAGCCAAGGCTGCTACTTCAGGGCCCTAAGAACAGCCTCCAGTTTCATGGCCATTGCTAGGTTGCCCTTCACCTTGAGTAGGGGGATAGACATGCAATGGGGAAAAGATGATTAGCATGTCCCACTGGGTGGAGTAGAAAGTAGTGATTAAGCATTCAGGTTCTATTACCCTGGGTTCAAATCCTATTGGCTATGTAATTGCTCAGAGCCTCAGTTTCCAAACTGGAGAATGGGAATGATGATACAACCTAAATCATAGGCACACAGTGAGAAGTAGGTGAGCTAATGAGCAAAAAGTGCTCAGCACAAACCCTGGCACACAGTAGGTCTACAGCATGTGCAGGGCTCTTGGTACAGGAAGCTTGGCTATCTGAGTTGTCCTGCTGATGAGCACAGGGTAGGGAGACAGAGGTCTGGATAATCATCATCTGCAAATGGTGTCTGAGCCCCTGATTGCTATGGTTCACTCTAAACTGTTGACAGCATCAGGGGAAATCTAAAACAGGCCTGGAGCCATGCTGATGGCTCAGTGGTTGAGTGTCTACCAGGAGTTCACGTTCGATTCCTGGTCAGGGCACATGCCTGGTTGCAGGCTGGATCCCCAGTGTGGGGTGTGCAGGAGGCAGCCGATCAATGATTCTCTCTCATCATTGATGTTTCTATCTCTTTCTCCTCTTTCTTCCTCTCTGAAATCAATAAAAATATACTTTTTAAAAAAGATAAAAATGGACCCGGGGTGGAGGGCAGGGGCTACAAGCAATCTTGGTGGGAAGGAGCGGGTAGGGAGGGCAGTTGCACCTCTAGTTAGGTCCAGGGAGTAGACGCTCTGGGTGTCACTGGGAAGGACCACACTGAACTGGTAGCAGGCCCGAACTTGGCTGACCAGGTGGGGCTGCAGAGTAGTCAGCAGTCCCTCGGCCAGGCTGCTTCAAGCTGGGCCTAGCACCAATGTGAGGGCAGGCAACTCAACTTTGCTCACCATCTCCAAGATGTCTGGTGGGGGTAGTCCACAAGGTTGGGGAAGTGGCAGAGAGGGGAGGTCAATTTGCTGCCAAGGTCAGGATCACTGTGGCCTCCATACCTTCGCAATAGTTCCCTCTTACACCCACTTCAGGTCTGTGTTCAACTCACTACTCAGCTAAGAAGTCACTCTTAAGTTTTCATCCTTAACTCCCAAACCCTATTTCTAAGCTATTCCAGTGTGAATGTAAATCTCTTTTCTACCATGGCCTCCACGCGCTTAGAGACACCTAGGCTCTTCCCACCGCCTTAGTTCTAGTCAGCTCCAGAATCGGAGTGGCCTGAAAAGACAGGCAGAGAATGGACTGCATAAAGGTGCTTGCTTAAGGGAGCAAGTAGCAAAGCTCAGCCTGTGCTGGACACCAAGCTGAGTGCCCTGCTGAGCCCCCCACCCTTTGCAGGAGGCTCCTCACCTGGCCCCGGGGGCAGGGTACCTCCTGCCAGTGAGTAAATGCCCCTCCCCAGGAAATGGAGAGCCAGCTGCTGGAGGGGACTGTCCAGCTGGGCCCAGCTGGACTGTCCTGTGGTGGCTGTAGCACAGCCTCCACTGCCAGCTCCACGTGGTCCACCTCAAGCCCCCGGGCCCTGGTCACGTTGTTGCTCTCCAGTTGGAGGACAGTGTGGGGATAAATGGAACTCATTCAGCACACCGTCCCGGAGCACCTTCTTTGGGCAGGCTCACAAGGCACCCCCTTGACAAGTTTCTGCTTGGGAACATGGACACAGGACAATACAATCCAGCTGTGCGCTACTGGCAGTAAGCAGCCAGGAGAGGACCAGGGAGGACATGGGGCAGTGAATTATACAGGTGAAGGGCAGAATGTGCACAAGCTCAGACAGGAGAGGCTGGAACATTCTGGAATTGCAAGTTCCCTTTAGTTAAACACTCAAGTGTGGGCTGGGAGGCTGGAGACAGCTGAGGGGATCAGAGGTAGCTGTTCCTGCTCACCTGGATTTATTCTGAGGCACAAGGAGCCCCAGAGAGGCGTTTAGCAGGGAGTTGACAGAGCAGACTTGCTTGTTGGAAAGATTCTCTTGGCTGCCATGTGGACACTGGGTTGGAGGGGGCTGAGGGTGAAGGCACAGAGACCAAAGTAGGATGTGGTTTCAAATTGCCAACAGAAATGATGTGGATCTGGTATCAGGCAGACAGGTGGCTGTGGAGCCAAGATATATCCAAGAAGGAGCACAATTCTGTAAACTATATGAAGCTACAGCAAGATACTAGAGAAAAAGAACCACTGGGCTAGTCAGCTGCCCAGATGTGTGATGACAGAGAAAGCAGTGCGGAGGAGTCAGGTTTGTGGGAAGCCACGGCTTGCCAATACTGTCATGAGCGTGCACCAACGAACGCAGGAGACTGATGGACCTTGAGAGTTAGCAGGGCTGACGCTAGGCACCGATTGTTCGTGTTGAGATAGCGATGGCTCGAAGCAATCTCCTGACCTGATAGCCTCCAAGTACAGTGGGGCCTTGACTTACGAGTTTAATTCGTTCGGAGACCGAGCTCGTTAAGGAGCTTGTTAACTCAAATTACTCTGTCAACTCAATGCAAAAAATCGGCTGAGAGACAGCTGGTATCTCAAAAAACTCGTTAGTCGGGACACTCGTAAGTCAAGGCCCCACTGTAAATGTTTACTGGACCTTACTGATCTTTACTGACCTTTGAGACTGTCTGTCTGCTACTTGTTTGCCGTGCTTTACTGAGGGCAAGATGTGTATCTAAAACTGAATAAAAAGCAGACGGGACCCAGTCTCGGTGTGTCTCTTCAAGAAAGAGGGTCCACCTGCCCCCAATGCCTTCTAAATTCATGTTTTATTGTACAGCATTTTCATTTGTGCGTCAGCCCCTCCTTCAGATCCTGAACCTCTTCACAAAGGTCGCAGCAAGGTCTCTGGTGTGGATCATGAGTGTGGGTGTTCGTCTAGAAGGGCACACAGCAGGCGACGCAGAATTGGGAGTAGGTAGGGGAGGGATGATAACTTTTTTTAATACATTAAGCTTTAATGTGTATGGCACAGCCAGCTGCCCAATAGGCAGTTGGATAAATGGGTCCAGGGTGCAGGAGAGAGTAGGACTAGCGCAGAGTGGTGTAAATAATTAGTGTCCAGAGGTAGCAAGGGCCCCAGGTAAATGAGCCTTTCCTAGGAGGTCATAGGAAAAAAAAAAGACAGAAACTTGGAAACTGAAGGGCAGGAGGAACAAGGGTGACCAGGAAGAAAAAAGGAAGCTGGGTGCAGAGTAATGGAAGCCCAGGGAAGCAGATGACTGATCTAGAGTAAAAGAAGGATGGGTGCACAGAGTCAAAGTCTGACACCGGGTGAAGTAGAGGAAGGACTGAAAAGTGCCCTCTGCATTAGCAAGTGGGAGTTCACTGTGATGACTGTCTTAGGAGCCTATGGGAAGCCAAGACTAAGAACAGGAGGAAAGCAAGGAAAGGAGAGAGAGGCAGAAAGGCAAGAAGAAGAGAGGATGAATGGATAAAGTGAACCAGGTTCTGGGCCAGAGCATTTTTGGTGCAAGGATGAACCTCAGACAGAGTAAGCAGATGCTTCCAACATGGCAGGAAAAATAGCACAGCCCTGGCTGGTGTGGCTCAGTTGGTTGGAGAATCATTCTGTACAATGAAAGATCATGGGTTCAATTCCCAATCAGGGCACATACCCAGGTGGGAAGCAACCAATTGATGTTTCTCTCCTCTCTCTAAAATCAATGGAAACATCCTTGGGTGAAGATTAAAAAACAAAAAAGCACAGATGTTGATGATTTTGAAGGGTGATGCTGGAGGAGGATGAAAGAGTTCTTGTCCTAGACTTTTTCCTCCTGAGTCTTAGGAGGCAAGGCCTGCTGCAGAAAGTGACAGGTGAGGGTGGGAGGCTGGGCCAAGGCACTGAGGGGTAAAACAGCTGGCCTGGAGCAGCTAAGGAGAGACTAGCAAGTAAGAGGTGGGGAATGTTCAATCCTTCAAGATGAAATGTAGGTGAAAAGGAGAGCGAGAATGAGAAATGTATACCTGAACCAGGGCTTAGGGAGGTGTGCAGGCTTTCCTGAGATTTCATTTTAACCAGAGGCACTGATCCCACTTTACCAGCAGCCAACTGTGTCTTGGAAATGGGCCCTAAATGATTCTAACATCTTGGTGTGAGACTGACTCTCCCCAGACTGCCTCTCTCAGTTTTCTGCACAGCAAAAAGAAAAAAAATTTTTTTTAAAGAGGATAGTTTAAGAAACCTCTGGGACAACAACAAGCATAAAATATTTGCATTATAGGGGTTCCCAAAGGAAAAGAGGAAGAGGAAGAAATTGAAAACCTACTTGAAGAAATAATGATTAAAGTTTCCTGACCTGGCAAAGGAAATAGGCATACAAATCCAGGAAGGGCACAGTCCCAAACAAGATGAACCCAAAGAGGCCCACACCAAGACACATCACATTAAAATGCCAAAGGTAAAAGACAAAAAGAGAATCTTAAAAGCACCAAAAGAAAAGCTCCTAAAAGGGAGCTCCCAGAAGATAATCAGCTGATTTCTCAACAAAAACGTTGCAGGCCAGGAGGGATTAGCACAAAATATTCAAAGTGATTAAAAGCAAGTACCTACAACCAAGATTATTCTACCCAGCAGGACTATCATTTAGAATCAAAGGAGAGAGAAAGTGTTTCTAAGACAAGAAAAAGCCAAAGGAATTCATCACCACCAAACCAGTATTATTTGAAGAAAGGTTAAAGGGAATTCTTTAAGTGCCACAACCTTCACAGCAGGGTTCAGGATCTGAAGGAGGGGCCGATGCACAAATGAAAATACTATACAAGAAATATGAATTTAGAAGGCATTGGGGGCCAGGTGGAGACCTATTTCTTGAAGAGGCACACCGAAACCTGGCCTGGTCCACTATTTATTTACTTGAATACACATTTGCCCTTTAACAATGCATACAGGCATATCAAATTTAAAGTTTGGTAAACAGTAAAAGGATTATCAGGTTAGGGAATTGCCTTGAGCCACCACTATCTCAACACTTGGTGCTTAGCATCAGCCCTGCTAATGCCCAAGGTCCATTGGCCTTCCACATTCCTTGGTGCACTGACAGTATTGGCAAGTGGTGGCTTCCTGCATTTAAGAAGAAGAAGAAGAAAAGATAAAATATATGAATAATAAAATGGCAATAACTATATACCTATCAATAATCACTTTAAATATAATTGATTAAATGATCCAATCCAAAGACATAGGTGGCTGAATAGATAAGAAAACAAGACCCATGCATATGCTGCCTACAAGAGACCCACTTCAGATACAAAGACACACACAGACGGAAAGGAACAACAACAAAAAGCTGGGATTGATATATTAGAGATATATAGACTAGATAGACTTTAAAACAACAAAGACAAAAAGAGACATCTCATAATGATAAAGGGGTCAATCCAATAAGAAGATATAACCCTTGCAAACATTTACACACCCAATGTGGGAACCCCTAAATATCTAAAGCAAATATTGGCAGACATAAAGAGAGAGAGGTCTATAGTAGTACAGTCATCATAAGGGACTTTAATACCCCATTGGTATCAATGGATTGATCTTCCAGACAGAAAACCAACAAGAAAATAATAGCTTTATATGATACATCAGACCAAATGGACTTAATAGGTATTTTAAGAATATTTCACCCCAAAGAAGCAGAATATACATGCTTTTCAAATGTACATGGAACATTTTCAAGGATAGACCACGTGCTGGGCCACAAAACAACTCTCAATAAATTTAATAAGATTTAAATCATAGCAAGCATCTTCTCTAAACACAATGGTATGAAACTAGAAATCAATTAGAAGAAAACTGAAATATACACAAACACATGGAGGCTAAATAACATGTTATTACACAATAAATGGATTAACAATGAGATAAAGAAAGAAATAAAAATATATCTTGAGACAAATAAAATTAAAAACACAACACCCCAAAAATCTATGGGACAAAGCCAATGAAGTTCTAAGAGGAAAATTCATAGCAATACAGGCCTACCTTGAGAAACAAGAAAAATCTCAAATATACAATCTAACCTTCCACCTAAAAAACCTAGAAAAAGTTAAATAAAGTTGATAAAACTTTAACCAGGCTCATCAAGAAAAAAGGCAAGAGAACCCAATAAATAAAATCAGAAATAAAGAGAAGTAACAACTGACATCACAGAAATACAAATGATTATAAGAAAATATTATGAACAACTACATGCCAACAAATTGGACAACTTAGAGGAAATGTATAAATTCCTAGAAACATACAATCTCCCAAGGCTAAATCAACAAGAAACAGAAATTGTGAACAGATCAATAACTACTAACGAAATCAAATCAGTAATAATAATAATAAAAACTCCTAACAAACAAAAGTCCAGGACTGGATGGCTTCAGAGGTGAATTTTACCAACATTCAAAGAAGAATTAACCCCTCTCCTTCTCAAACTATGCCAAAAGAAAGTTCCCAAACTCATTTTACGAGGCCAGCATTACCCTAATACCAAAGCCAAAGACAGAACAAAAAAGTTATAGACCAATACCCTGATGAAAATAGGAATAGAAAATCCTGCCCAGCTCCCATTGCTGGCCCCACCCCTACTTCCCGCTATCACTGGCCAGTGCGGCAAAGGCACCCGATTCTCCGATCATGGCTGGGGCGAAACCGGCCTGGGGGCCGCCTTTCCCCTGCCCCCCAGCTCTTAGCTCCCCCCTGGGTTTCTGATCACTGTCAGTGGCAGGGGGCTTCTTTCCGTGCTTTCCCTTTTGCCTCCCTGCATTGTGCCTACATATGCAAATTAACCGCCATCTTTGTTGGCGGTTAACCGCCATCTTGGCTGGTGATTAATTTGCATATCTCGATAATTAGCCAATGGGAAGGGTAGCGGTCGTACACTAATTACCATGTTTCTCTTTTATTAGATTAGATATGGTATTGGAAGTCAACACAACAATCAGACAGGAAGGAAGGAAGGAAGGAAGGAAGGAAGGAAGGAAGGAAGGAAGGAAGGAAGGAAGGAAGGAAGGAAGGAAGGAAGGAAGGAAGGAAGGAAGGAAGGAAGGAAGGGCATCCAAATTGGAAAGGAAGAAGTAAGACTGTCATTATTTGCAGATGATAAGATGTAACAAAAAACACAGGTTCCACCCAAAAGCCAAACTTTTGAGACAGGCACTGGTGCAAAAGGAAAAAGGTTTTATCCAGGTGCTAGAACCTGGGAGAGTGGTGGACTCCAGTCTCAAAGACCATCTCCTCTTCCTGCTCAAGCCCAGAGTTCTTACAGGGATAGGGAGAGGAGGGCTTTTTTCTATCCAATTATCTTGCTAGCTTTCAGCACTGGGGCCCTGTTCATTCATCTTTCTAGCTTTTTGGCAGCTTGGTGTAAGAACCTCCCCCAGAGCCATCATAGCCAATGGGGGAGATTCTTGGTGCTCCCTGACTGTCTATGTAGTGGGGAGAGTGCTGCAGGATCCACCATCAGGAAGCCTAGAGATGCTATAGCTCTCAGTCCACCTCCCTATTGGTTGGAGTCTGCAGGGCACCCCTGGATTTCCATGGCAGTGTCCTTTACACAGCCCTGGCCTAGCCCGTCTCTCTGAAGTGGCCAGCCAGGCTCTGATTGATGGCTGCCTACCATAACAATGGTACTATATAGGAAACCTATATAAGATTCCCCCTCCCCCTGCCCCCAAAAAAACCCTATTAGAATAAGTGAATTCAGTAAAGTCGCAGGATACAAAACTGATATTCAGGCATTGGTTACATTTTAATACACCAATAATAAACTATCAAAAAGAGAAATTAAGAAAATCCTAGCCCTAACTGGTTTAGCTTAGTGGATAGAGCGTTGGCCTGTGGACTGAAGGGTCCCGGGTTCGATTCCAGCCAAGGACACATGCCTGGGTTGTGGGCTCAATCCCCAGTGGGGGGCATGCAGGAGGCAGCCTATAAATGATTCTCCCTCACCACTGATGTTCCTATCTCTCTCTTCCTCTCTGAAAATCAATAAAAATATATTTAAAAAAGAAAATCCCATTTACAATTGCATCAGAAAGAATAAAATACCTAGGAATAAATTTAACCAAGGAAGGTAAAAGACCTGTACTTGGAGTACTATGACATTGAAAAAAGAAACTGAATAAGATATAAATAAATGGAAGCATATACTGTGCTCATGGATAGGAAGAATTAACATGGTTAAAATGTCTATACTACCCCAAATAATCTAGAGATTCAATGCAATTCTTATCAAAATACCAAAGGCATGTTTCACATAATTAGAACAAAACAAAAAGATAACCTATTGAATGGGAGAAGATATTTGCCAGTGATACATCCAATAAAGGGTTAATACTCAAAATACATAAGAAACTCATACATACAACTTGACACCAAACACACACACACACACACACACACACACACAAAACAATCCAATTAAAAAATGGGCAGAGGACCTGAATAGATAAGTTCTCCAAAGAAGACACAAATATATGAAACGATGGTCAAAGTCACTAATAAAGAAATGCAAATTAAAACCACAATAAGATATCACCTGTCAAAATGGCTATTATCAATAAATCAACAAACAAGTTGATGAGGATGTCCAGAAAAGGGAATCCTGTGCACTGTTGCTGGGTATGCAGATTGGTGTACCTGTTACCTAACTCAAGGAGTTCACCACTTGGGGGGCATTGATTATCCTTAGTTTTATTTAGTTACAGCAAGTAAAGGAGACAGGAGATTCACATCCAAAGCTCTATCTCCCTGATGGGAGGCTTAGCCATTGCTTATATATACTACTAGTGGCCTGGTGCACGGATTTGTGCACATTGAAAGGAAATTAATTAGAAGAAATATTGTAATATCACTATTTACCCTTTGTCTATAATAGAAGTGTCAGAGATGAAAGAAAATTAGTGAAATGTATTAGTATATGAAAATAATATATAAACTGATCAATAAATAAACAATAACAACATGATATGACAACAAAGACATGACATAAAAACAAAAAATTATATTAAAACAAAAACAACAGTGATAAAAACAATGACTGGTAAATTGACTAAACTAATTCTAATATCTCCCTGTATACCACATTAAGAGTAAAAACACTTTCAGAGTGCTTGACTAATTTCCCTTGTGATGAAGTATTTACTAGTACAGCTTTAACTTAAACGTCACACACTCTTCGAACTAGAGAGAAAGCAACATATAGCTGACCATGTCTGAAAATGGGTTCAGGTAGGAATACTCCTACTATGTCTAGAGTTTGTCCTTGTGATTTATTAATAGTCATTGCAAATGTTGGCATCATGGGAAACTATCTTTGAATTAATTTAAATGGGAGGCCAGTGTCAGACAGGGACAAATCCTTGGAATCAGAACAACCTCTCCTTCCGCAGATCCTGTTAATACTTCAGCTTTGATTATGTTAGGTTGCAATCTTTTGATAATAAATCTAGTACCATTACAAAGACTGCATTTATTATTAATATTTCTCAGTAACATTATGATTGCACCTACTTTCAATTTTAATTTATGACATGGCATTCCTGAAGGAGTAATACTATTAAGAAATTCGCTGGGGAAATTTTCCTTTTCGGCATCAATTGAATCGATGGAATCATCACTCAAATAGGTGTGAAAATCTCCATCCAGTGTATCCAAAATTTCTTCATTTAATTTATGAACATGCTCATTTTTTGGACAAAGAATCACGTGTTTAGATATGTTTTTAATAGTATCTATAGATTTACTAGTCCCAAAGGTAGCTTCAATAATAGATCCATTACAAATCATTTCAACAAAAACAGCCAAATTCACAATCGACAATGACAGATGGAAACATACACATGCAATTGCGCCAGCGAGAGCTTTATATGTATTGCGCATGTGCGAGTCAGCATTTATTTCTAAATTGCCAGTGTGCGTCAATTGGACGGTCTGTCACTTAGCCTTTTATATAGATAGATTTGGTTAATTAAATGTTGATTTCTTGTTTGCAGTTGGCTACACTTAATATGGTAGGGTTCTTGTCAAGCACATCCTGTGTACAGCTGCTTCTGCAAAATATTGTGCTACATTTTAACACTTAGCAAGAATGGCATTTAGTAAGAATACCCAGACCTTGAGACCCTTGTCCTATATAACATAGCCACTTTGGAAAACAGTATGGAGATTCCTCAAAAAACTAAAAATAGAACTACTCTATAACCCAGCAATCCCAGTTCTGGGTGTCTGAAGAAATCCAACACACTAATTCAAACTGTTATATACATACTAGAGGCCCGGTGCACAAAAATTTGTGCACTCCGGGGGGAAGGGGGGGTCCCTCAGCCCGGCCTGTGCCCTCTCGCAGTCTAGGACCCCTCGGGAGATAACGACCTGCTGGCTTAGGCCTGCTCCTGGGTGGCAGAGGGCAGGCCCAATCCCTAGGTGCAGCCCCTGGTCGGGCTCAGAGCAGGGCTGATTGGGGAGTTGGGGCGCCGACCCCTGTCATGCACAGAGCAGGGCGGATTGGGAGGTTGTGATGCCACCCTCAGTCACGCTCAGGGTAGGGCTGATTGGGGGATTGGGGCACCACCCCCTATCACACTCAAGGCAGGGTCAATGGGGAGGTTGCGGCACCACCCCCTGTCATGCACAGAGCAGGGCCAATCAGGGGGTTGGGGCGCTGCCCCCTGTCACTCACAGAGAAGGGCCAATCAGGGGGTTGGGGCACTGCCCCCCCCCCCGCCACGAAAAAAGAAGGGCCCATCAGGGGGTTGGGGAACTCCTCTCCTGTCACGCACAGAGTAGGGCTGATAGGGGAGTTAGGGCCACCGCCCCCTGTCACACACACAGCAGGGCGGAATCAGGGGGTTGGGGTGGCTGGCACTGGTACACTCAGGGCAGGGCCGATGGGGAGGGTTATGGCTCTTACCCGTCACACACAGAAGAAGGGCCCTTGAGAGATGAGTGTTTTAGGTAAATACTCTTTCTAAACAAGAAGAGAAGGGCCGTATAGGGGGGTGTGGAGATGCCACACCTTGTAAACCAAGGCCCAGGCGTCAGGGGTTTGGCGTGCCCCCTGTCATGCTGATCTGGTGCCAGGAGGCCTCGCGGCTCCGCTGATCCCGGTGCTGGGAGGCATATTACCCTTTTACTATATAGGATAGAGGCCTGGGGGCCGGCTGGTTTGCCCTGAAGGGTGTCCTGGATCAGGGTGGGGGTCCCCACTGGGGTGCCTGGCCAGCCTGGATGAGGGGATGATGGCTGTTTGCAGCTGGTCACACACCCTTCAGGGTGGGGGTCCCCACTGGGGTGCCTGGCCAGTCTGGGTGAGGGGCTGAGGGCTGCTTTCAGGCTGGCGGTTGTTGACTGGAGCTCCCAACCACTCCTTTTTTTCTTTTTTTTTTTTTCTTCTGGGCCAGCTTTAGCTCTGGCTCTAGCTCTGAGGCTTCCGCTGCTGGTTTGTTTGCCATTCTATAATCGAAACAATGTATAACTTCAGCTCTGAGATCCCAGCCGGCTATATTTGTTAGAATGTTTCAAACTGCCAGCTCAGAGGCCGCAAGTCAGGCGGGGAACGTTGGAGTCTGCAGTCGCTGGAGCAAGCAAGCCTCATGTTCGCTTCCAGCTGCCTGGCTGCCGGCCGCCATCTTGGCTGACAGTTAATTTGCATAAGGATATGCTGATTAGCCAATGGGAAGGGTAGCGGTCGTACGCCAATTACCATTTTTCTCTTTTATTAGTGTAGATCTATGTTCATCACAGCATTATTTACAATAGCTACAGTATGGAAGCAACTTAAGTGTCCATTAATAGGCAAATAGACAATGAAGTGCTACATACATACTCATAGTCCCACCCATACCACTGGCTCTTCAAAAGTTGTCACACTCTTCATGCATAGGGTAGACTGAGGCCTAAAGGGATCTGCTGCTTTGCTCAAAGTATCCCGCAGGCAAAGGGAGGCCCAGGTGCCAGCCACTGAATTCTGCCCTGTGAAGTGCTGCCTACCAGGAGCTGGTTGCTGATCTTGAGCTTCTCCATCTGGATTGCCTGCAGAGGCCTCTTGAGCAGGGCCTTGGTCATGGCATTCTGGGCTATGGCTGTGTTCAGGTCCTTCACAGTCATCACTGACAATACTGGAGCCCTGAACTGGACATTGGCCCCCACAGGCAGCATGGCCCCATTCTTAGATCGGGGGCAGGGGGCATGAAAGAGGAGACTTTCAAGGGGCTGAAGCTGCAGGGAGATCAGGCCCACTGAGACCACCCAGCTTGATCCACCTACCTGGTCACTAGAGCCTCATGGACAAAATGGTGTCCTCAAGTATATGGGGTTAGGTATTTGTAGCAAGAATGGGCTCCCAGCCGCTAGCCTCAATTTTCTGCTCTCCTCCATACTCCCCTTCTCCTACCTCTGATGGCTACTCATAGGCCAAGTTACTGGCACCCAGGATACACTCTGCACAGCCCCCATTCTCTCTGTCCAGGAGAGCCAAGAAGCCCCTCACCTTGCAGGGAGGGACGTTGAAAGCTCGTGTCCTCAGATCCACCCTCTGAAAGGAGCCAATGAAGGCAGGAGCAAAACCATGCCAGGCTCTTGGGGGGTACGGATCCAGCTCAATAGAAACACAATCATCTGATCATAGGTGGGCACAATCTGCTCACAATGGCAAAGGAAGGGTTGAGTGTGGTAAGCCCAGATTGGCATTGATGTCTGCCCAGGGCCCTCCCTCACCTCTCTCCCCCTTGCCCTGGGCAATGTCAGGTATCCTTAAACTGTGTTTACATGAGAAAACCAAGGCTCTGAGGGGTTGTGACTTACTCAAAAATCACAGTCCCTAACTGAAATAGGCAAGATCTGAATGCAGCTCTGAATGACTCCAGAAGCCATGCTCTCCACTACCACACTGTTTCTTGATCCTCAGAGAAACTTTTCTTTTCTGTGGTCTGAAGCTAGATGTGACTCAACCCAGAAAACTGTCTGTCCTTGAATTAGTTAGGATCAAATTCTGGGCTGCTCCATCCGCAACCCTAAGCAAAGGGCTTTGCCAACTTCAGGTGCTGGAGTCCTCAAAGAAGTAAATATATCCACATTGAGAAATGAAGGCCCAGAGAGGCAAAGTGACTTGCCCAAGGTCACAGTATTTGTTTCAGTGGCAGTTTTAGGACTAGGATTTAGGACTTTCTAAGGACTTCCTTCCAGACTACACCAAACCCAAAGTCTTTCTAGAAAAGTTGGCCATGGCCTAGGGCTGCACAAAGAGCCAGGCCTGCTTGGCTTCCACTTCACTGTGGCTTTCAGGTGTGATCCTCAACTATAGTTCATCCCTTTCCCATCTGCAGATACCCCCTGTGGAAACAAGGCCTAAATTCCTTTCACTCGTTATCTCTGGGGCCAATTTTAGTGTTTTCCAGTTCCAATTTAGCCTAATCCAAAGGCAGGGAGGTTTGGCAAAGATATCAGTATGCACCTTAACACTATTGTCCAGAACCCAGGACTTGGGAGTTTGGTTCCTGTATGACTTTGGACAAATATGAGCCTCAGTTTCCTCAACTGAAAGATGTGTCCTGGCCCAGCCCATTTTCCGGAAGTGTGATAATATACTTAAGGGAAGGAGACAGAGGACAAAAAGTTCATCCATCAATGCTCAGTATGACCCAACCACCCTGGGGATCTCCAGGGCAAACCAGCCAGAAATGGGGAAGGTGACCAGCAGCATCAAGAACCCCAGGAAACTGATGAGGCTGTGGCAGAGGCAGGAAGACCAGGTGTGGGATACATCTGAGGCAAGAGCACAAAGGCAGTCAAGGAACACCAATTGGCTGGCCGGACAGCTGCAGGCACAGTGAACATGGTCAAGTGTACCTTTTGCCCACCTCCCTTCCTTCTCAGAGCTCTGTCTGCCTCCTTGCCTAATACTCCCATATCTTTGGGTAGGTCCTACTTAAGGATTGTTCCCTCTTCCCACACATCAAAACTAATCTCTCCCAAGTCCAGCCTTCACAAGGCTTTCTCTGCTGGACAATGGTCATTGGATCTGAGAAGCAAAACCATGTGATGCCTTCCTTATTGGGCTGAGCAGGAATCAATCTTCTTGTCTAATTTATATTAACTTGGTACAGAGCCAGGAGTGGGTGGGAATCTGAAAACACAGGTTGGGTTGAACTGAATGCTGCTGGCATAACCCATCCCTCCTCTATCATAAGCCCCAAAGGTGTGCTTTCAAGGAGTCCTTTTGCCTAAAGGGATAAGGCATTAATGGCTCACCAATCAATAAGAGCCATAGGTGAGGACTAAGATGTTCTTTCCTAGCTCACAATTCTTTACCCCCTAAGGGCCGTCAAATACATGCTTTAGTTGAAGAGCTTCAGGTGGGAGGTGGGGAGAGAGGAACTAGGAAATGAGGCTCACCTCATGGCCCCTGCAGAAAAGGAACCCTTGGATGGGGCAGCTGTCATTACAGGAGGGTTAGGGAGGGACCAAATCCTCCAGTGTTTGGTTGTCAGACTGAGGAATGTGAGATCTGAAATGTGGGATTCAAGGCTTTGGAGCAAGACAGGGCCAGAGTTGACACACAGGCAGCTGAGGGCCTTTTTTTGGCCTGTGTCCCTCCACCAGGAAACAGAGAGGTGCTCAAGCTCAGGGAATCTAGAGGTTGATTTTCTGCTCTCCTCCCTACTCCCCTGCGAGGGGGCAGAGGGAATTCTGCCACTTCTTGGCAGCCAAGTGCCCTTGGCGAGCAGATGATCTTCTATGCCTAGACCTTGGTTTCTTTCTCGTCAAAATGGGAACTTGAAACCTCAGCCGAGGCCTAACAGGCGGAGCGGAGGAGGAGTGAGGTGTATGGGGCGGACGGAGGGGGGCTCCTTGGAAGATGAGAACTGAAGGCTGCAGCCCCGAAGCCCCAGAAGGGTGGATCGACGCCAGCATCCCAGCGTCCGGTACAGGCCCGTCTCCACGCAGCATTTCCCCTCGCTCCCTCCTCTTTGGGAGCGACTACGCGAGACCAGCCGACTTCTGACAGGCACAGAGCTCGGGCCTGGGGATGCCGGCCGGGTCCCCCGGGTCCCTCTGCGCTGGACGGCCACTCACCAGCCCCCGGCCCCACGCCGCCCCGCTCCCGGAACAAGCGGCCCTTCTGGGAGCCCAGGAAGCCGAAGTTCGACTGCGGGAAAGAGTCCACGTCCCCCAAGGGCAGCGCCGGGTACCCACACCTGAGGAGCAGGGCTCTAAACAGCCAGTGCCGGAAGTGATCTGCCCGCCTCCGCCCCGCCCCTCCCGGCCGCGGCTTCCGGCTTCTCGGGAGTCGCACGTCGCCACCTGCGCTAGGAGGACCGAACTGCGGACGCGGGGCTGGGAGGAAAGGTGGTCCTTGCCTCCTCCTGCTTGCTACCCCTCGGCTTTGGAAAAGGATCAGGAGGGACGTTGGCTTTGAAAGGGATTTTTCAGGAGCCGAATCTTATTCAGAATCAAGGAAATTGTACCATTCCCTCTCCAAACTCAAATACTGGGGTGTGTATGCTGGGAAGGGAGTGGAGGCTTATCTGGAATTAACGTTTCTCCAGGGCATAATCAGCAAATTACTCCACTTTGTGTACCCACAGCCCAACAAGCAGGATCTGGCACAGAGTGGATCTCAGTACTTATTTGTTGATTAGCTCACTGCGGTTAAGGTGGGGCGGGAGAACCTGGACTTTGGCACAAAAACAGAAAAATTTCATGTGCAGACCTCAGGAACGAGGAGTTAGCACAGAGTTATGATGGGGCAGACCCTTCAAAGCATCTAGAGGTGAGATTCTCAGTCCTTAGGGCCAGAAACAGCATATCTCTTGATCCAGTTACCCAGAGGTAACTTGTCTCTTCATGGTTTGAGAAAACCCAAATGCAAATGGGGAGTTTATTCTGAGAAGCATTAACTTCTAATAGGGCATTGAGGCAAGCTGTCTTCCAAAATGAACAGAGATTAATAAAATTTTCCTTGTCACAGCCACATGCTAGTTGCCTCCTTCTACCCCTCAGCCCCTCAGCAATAGCCCAGTTCCAGGTCCCTTCTGCAGATAGCTGCTCACCATCTTTGGTTTTTCCTAGTTTGATGGCCTGATTCTAAAACCCTAGGGGTACTGATGGGGTTGGAAGGTGGGGCAGGCTCCTGAAGCCTCTCCCACTTCCTTTCCATACATGCCTTCAGACTATAAGCCTTTACAAGAGCAAAGCCCTGTCACAACCCCTCCTAGTCTGTTCCAAGCTGGAACAGCATAGAATGGGTACACAGTGGTTGGGATGGTTTGAAGTTTAGAGTCAAGGGTACTGGCTCAGGGAGGCTACCTGGAGCTGTACTTTCTCCCCTCACCAACTGGGGGTCTGGCACACTTCTCTGCTGGCCAAAAGCTAACTTGCTCTGTCTCCTCACTCTTCATACCCTGTACCAGCTTCCCCCATCCCCCACTGCCTAAAATTTACCAGCCTTTCCAACTGTGACCCAAGGCATCATCCTGTTCTTCTCATCTGCACTCAGTGTCCTCCCAGTGTCTCTGACTCAGGTCCCCCTTGCGTCCCACAGCCACTATCCTAGATCAGGCCACCTGCCCCTAGGTTGTCAGAGTGACTTTCCTACCATGCACAGTGAATCACATTGTTCCTAGGTACCAAACTGACTCTACAGTCCACAAAACTGGCCCATCTCCTTATCTATGATCTTGCCCCAGTCCTTCCTGGGCTGACATTGCTCATGGGTCCCCTCTTAAATCCTGTTTCAAACCTTCATGCCTTTGCATGCACTATTCTCTCTGTTTAAAGTGTCTTCCCAATATTGGAGTCCCTGGTAAATTCCCACTGTTCCAAGTCCCAGCTGAGGAACCTCCTTTCCAGCCAGTCTCAATGCTGTGTGAAAATCTCTTTTTGGAGCCTGTCCTTCCACTAGATCCGGGATTCTTCCAAAGCAAGGGCCATGTCACTCATCTCTATGCCCCAGGCTCCCAGCTGGGGGCTGGCACAAAGCTGTGCCGTGTGAGCTGATGAATGGCCCAAAGCCCAGGGCGGGGCTGCCCCTCTCGAGTCAGCTCAGACACTTTGCTGTTCCCCCAGGTCAGCTGTGCTCTACTGTCCTCCCTCTCCCTCCAACCTGCCATGGGCGTGTCTTCCAAACCCACAGTTCGGCCTCTCCGCTCCTAGAACCGCCCCCAATTACTGTTTCACTTCCTTTCCAGTGACTGGCCCAGAACCGGCACCTCCCCTTTCGGATAGCTCCGGAAATTCAGTGCTCTCGCGCGTGAGTCTCATCAAGCTTCTCCCGCCCCCCAAGATCAAAACTGAGAATCGAAACTGCACTGGGTTCCATGCAGCCGGAGCCTGCACCCGCCAGATCTTCGGGGACCCAACAGGACTCCGCACTGCCCGACATGTCCACCATGCCTCCCCCGGAGTCTCCCTCCGAAAGCCAGCAGCCCAGCCCGGACCACAGCCCCACAGAGGTACTACTGGGTTTGGGGAGATGGGGTTTAGGCTTTGTGAATTTGCTGTGATGGGAGGAGAGGTGAGAAGGGAGAGGGAACTTGGTCAAGTACACAGAAGGAAAAGACCAGACCCTCTTGGCTCGAGTAGGAGTAGAGGAGAGAAGAGATGAAAAAAGATCACCAGGATGAGTTAAGGGAGCCTCTCTGGGCTGCTATTCTCCACTGAACGAACAGTGGCACCTCGGACCGGACTCTCCTACCCGCGCTGGCGCTATGCCTCTTTGCCCCTGCTCGGAGGAGGCCCCAGAGTAATAGCCCAATTGCCCAATCCTGGAGCATGGCCCTTGCGAGGGGGGGAGGGGGGGGTGGCGGAGAGCGCTCACATTGGGGAAAACAAAACCTAAGTACCAGTTCCGAATGGGAGAGGTGAATCAGTTAAGGCCTCGCAGCTCCTGTGGTTTCTTCTCCAGGAAGCCTTCTAGATACTTCTCCTGGAACACCTTGCCCGCCCAACCCCCTTTCCCAAGGCAGGTTTTCTACCTGGAAGCTTTCCCTTAGTCTTCTCCTGAACAAATCCCCAGCCTCCCACCCCCAAAAGGAGCTTCTTAGATCACTTGCTCTATGTTCTTCCAGGCCCTTTTAAAAGCACAAATAACACCAGTTGTAGTAATTTGTATTATTTGCATAAGTACAACTAGGAATAATATTGCTTAATATTAGTAGTTAACTCTATGAGCATTTATCGTGTGCTATGCACTGTATTAAGTACTTTTTTTTGCATTTTTAAAAATCGTGGTAAAATATACACAAGATTTGCCACTTTAGCCTTTTCTAAGTATACTATTTAGTAGCATTAAGTACGTTCACAATGTTGTGTAACCCTCACGACCTATTTCCAGAACTTTTTCATCACCCAAACAAACTCTGTACCCTTTAACCAATAGCTCTTTATTCTCCCCTTCCTCCAGCCCTTGGTAATCTCTAATCTACTTTGTCTCTGAGAATTTGCCTGCTCTAGATATTTCATATAAGTGGAATCATACATTTGTCCTATGTCTGGCTTAGTTCACTTAGCATAATGTCCTTCCTTAAATGGGAAGGCTGAATAATATTTTGTTGTATGTACTCCATTTTGTTTATCCTTTAACGGACACTTGGGTTGTTTCCACCTTTGGCTGTTGTGAATAGCATGCTCCTGAGAATGTGGGTAAATATGTATCTGTGTGGGTCAGTGGTTTCAGTTCTTTTGGATATAAATCTAGGAGTGGAATTGCCAAATCATATGGTAGTTCCTCAAAAAGGTAGTTTACCTTTATGAGGAACCATCAAACTTTATAGAAGGTTGATACTTAATGTATCTCTTCTAAACTGAGTTCAGTGATAGTAGGGATAGAGGTATCCTATTTATCTTTGTATCTCAGGGCCTGGTACTGTGTCTGATGGGAAGTAGATGCTCAATATGTTGTGGAATTAGAGTGGGAAGCCTGAGTAAATGGGAAATTGAAATACTGGTAAGCCTGGGTTTTCATCATCCAGTGACTGCCTGGAATGAAATATGAAGTCCCATTCCAGCCTCCAGCCGTGGGGGCAGGGGACCTATGATGGTGGTGGGTGGTGACTCCTGGGACTTAAGGTCTCACCCCTCTCCTCTGGTCCCCCAGCAAACTACGGAGGAGGAGTTCCAGTTCCTGCGCTGCCACGGCTGTCAGGCAGAAGCCAAGTGCCCTAAGCTGCTGCTTTGCCTGCACACACTGTGTTCAGGATGCCTGCAGGCCCCGGACATGCAGTGCCCTATCTGCCAGGCGTCCCTTCCTCCTGGCGCTGATGGACCGGTCCTGGATAACATCTTCTTTGAGAGTCTGCAGCGGCGCCTGTCGGTGTACCAGCAGATTGTGGATGCGCAGGCCGTTTGCACCCGCTGCAAAGAGCCGGCAGACTTCTGGTGTTTCGAGTGCGAGCAACTCCTCTGCGCCAGCTGCTTCGAGGCGCATCAGTGGTTCCTCAAGCACGAGGCCCGGCCCCTGGCCGAGCTCCGCGGCCAGGCGGTGTGCCAGTTTCTGGACGCCACGCGCAAGTCCAACAACATCTTCTGCGCCAACTCCAACCACCGCAACCCTACACTGACTAGGTGAGCCGGTGGGTGGGTGGCGCATCCAAGAGCCAGGTAGCCGGTGAATGGGGAGCAGGGATCTGGAGTCACAAAGCTGAGAATGTGGGACAAGGAGCTTCTTGTGTAACTCCAGGGGTGGTCCACAAACAAGTAGCATCAGTAGCGATGATCACAATTTACCAATATTCTGTGCCACGCTAGTGGATCGTAATAGTTTCCTCCTATCGTAAATAATACTGCAGAATCATCTTTGCACCCTATTCCGTAATTCCTCTAGAACAAATTTTTAGAAATGCCATTGCTGGGTTAAGGGGCATGAAAATTTTACATTTTGATACATGCTACCAAACTGCCTTTTAGAAAGTGAAATTTTCCATAAGCGCTGCCATGGGATCTCTATATAGCTGGATTCTAAGATGAGAGAGATGCAGGCAGTTTCTGTCTGAAAAGTCAAAACCTAACTACCGCGCTATCTGGGAATGTATGTATGGAAAAAATAAATTCCAGTTATCATTATTTTCATTAAACAGCATAAGATTTCAATTATTTTTAAAAATAAATAATACTATTTATATGGTTCAAAAATTACAAACAAAACTTATGTAGAGAGTGCTAAGTCTCTGTTTCTCTTTATGATCTGCCTAATTCCCACCACTTCATCCTCCTCCCATCCAGGTAATCATTGTCACTAGTTTGAATGTTTCCAGAGTTTCTTTATGAATATATACACAGATAGAAGTTATATAGTCTTTTGAGGTCTTATTTATACCCCTTTTGGCCAAAAACGTAGCATACCTATGTGAACTTTGGGACACCCTCCCCCAATAAATGTCTTGTGTGTTGTGTGCTTGTTCTTGGGGATGTAATTTTAAAGTGAAGACTAGGGGACCCTCTGAGAACTGCATTCCTGCTGAGCCGACTGTGGCTCACTAGGAGGCTTACCACCTGCACTTCCCACTGCCTCTCTTCCCAACCCCTGCCCCCCCCCCCCCACCGCCCGCTCCCAATTCCTCAACAGTGATATTATCATTTGAATTTGGATTTCTTTGCTTAGTTTTAAGGTTGAGGTTCAGCGGCTTTTCATATGTTTATTTACCATTTTTTCTTCATTTGTGAGTTGCCTATTTGGGTCCTTTGCCTTTTTTTCCCCTTGGAGGAATTAATCTCTTTAATTGTAGGAGGCTGTTGTAGTGCAAACACAATACTTCACACAGCATAAGGTATTGGTGTTTAAGTTTTTAGTTTTATGTAGTCCAATCCATCAATCTCCCTTTATAGCAAGGATGGGGAACCTTTTTCTGCC